CATGTGTTATTCTTGATCAACGCATTAAATTCATCACACATTGCATCATACCAGTTTGGATCTTTGAGTGCGCTACGGTAGGTGGGGGGTAGCGGGGAGATTGAAGCTGTGGTGTTGAGGTTTAAGATGGATTTTGGGCGGGAGATTCCGGATTTTGCCCGAGTGGTCATCGGATGGGTATTGAGAGTGGGGTTGGACAGGGTTTGGTTGGTGGGTTGGTCTGAGGGGTGGGATTGGGCCGATAGATCCGGGGTGGGTTGAAGATTAGTGGGGGCCGGTTGAGAGTTTGAGGGTTGGGCCGAGAGGTGAGTGGTGGGCTGGGGTTGATTCTGGGTCAGCTGAGGGGAGGATGGTTGGGCCGAGCAGGGTATGGCTCGTTGAGATGGCTGTGGGTTGGGATGGGAGATTTGGTGTAGGTGATAGGGAATGGTGTCCTCCATGGAGTCTAGGAAGTTAAGTTGTGAGGGCGTTGTGGTGTGGTGAAAAGGAAAAGTGTTCTCATCAAAAACAACATGACGAGAAATTATAATTTTGTGAGTGGCTAAGTCTAGACACCGAAAACCACGCTGATTGGATGGATAACCAAGGAACACACACCGAGCGGATCTGGGGGATAGTTTGTGAGGCGTGGTGGCAAAGGTGTTGGGATAGCAAAGGCATCCAAAAACACGCAAATGGGAGTAGGAGGGTGGCATTTGGAAGAGTGCTTCGTGGGGGGTTCGATTTTGGAGGGTTGTGGTGGGTAGGAGATTAAACAGATGGCAGGCCATGTGGAGAGCTTCAACCCAATACTCAGGAGGTAATTGGGCTTGAAAGAGTAGTGTCCGAATGGTGTTGTTTATAGTTCTGATCGTACGTTCAGCGCGACCATTCTGTTGACTCGTGTGGGGACAAGAAAAACGGAAAACTATACCTAGGGAATTAAAAATATTTTTTTAGCGGAGTGTTTCGATATTCTGTTCCATTGTCACATTGTACAGCCTTAACAGTGGTATTAAATTGATTTTTCACATAAGCAAAAAAAGTTGTTAGTTGAGAAAAAGCGTCAGATTTGTGTCGTAGAGGAAAAACCCATAAGTAGTGAGAGAAATCGTCTAATAAAAGCATGTAAAATTTAAAACCAGTAACACTAGGAACAGGAGATTGCCATAAATCAGTGTGCATTAATTGAAAAGGAAAACTTGAAATTCGAACAGAAGAAGTAAAAGGAAGACGAACATGCTTTCCTAACTGGCAAGCATGACACAAAGTATCTTTAAATTGTTTATTATTGATAAGAAAAGATAGGGAGGGGACTCCATGAAGAACTGCCGGGCTAGGATGATCAAGACGACGATGCCACGTTTGAGTATCAACGGAGGCAGCGTGGACTTGGGCTACTGGAGGGTTGGTGCACAAGGGGTATAGAGGACCATTATTATTGGAGCGATGAATCACGGTTCCCGTCCGAAGATCCTTCACAGAAAAGCCATGGGAGTCAAATTCAACAGTACAATTGTTATCATGGGTGAATTGTCGTACAGAAATAAGATTATGGATAATATGAGGGGAGACTAAAACATTATTGAGGGATAGGGGTGGGGAAGTGGGAAAAATATGTTTACCAATTGCCGTAGCACGCACTTTGGATCCATTACCTACAGTGATGAAAGGTGGTGAATGTAACGGTGAAGAATAAACATGAGAAATAGTACCTGGGTCGGAGGCAATGTGATGAGAGGCACCGGTGTCCATGAGCCATGTGGATTCACGGAGAGTCATAGTGTCAAATTGATGAGCCAGAGCC